TTCCAGGCAAACATTATATTTCAGTTCATATTTATTTTCACCATAAATATATTAGTTTGCATCTATGTTCAACTGAAAGATTTTAGTTTCACCCCCAATAAAAGGCCATGCTGGTTTTTAACAAGTTTCTAAAATGATTATATTTATACTCAAAGTTCACTCTATATAATTTTTTTCTCTGTTCTTCTCAAGGCCAAACAACCATCCTGCCTTCACGGCAGTGACTATTTGGGATGAAAGCTGTAGACATATTACTACTTGTTCAATTGTATTGTTCATAGAGAAAGTAACAACAAAAACAGGATTCAGTGCAAGTTTATACAAGACCTAATATAAAGGTTATTGATTTGTTTTACCAAACATTTTTTGTGTAGATGTTTTATTATGTAAAAATGGGTATGCCCATTTCAAATTTGTAAGTTTCTTTTTCTTTCAATAAAGTTTTTCCAGGAGTTCTGTTCCCTTCTCCGAAAAAAATATAGAAAGGTGAATTCTATTCATAGGGGGTATGTGAGTGATCTAGGAGGTAAGAAATAGGCGGTATGCAAGTGAGAAGAAAAAGAAAACAAAGGCTGTATAATTTTTTAATAACCGAACTACACCCGACTTTAAACTAACCTCTAACGTGTTGTACTTATTTACACATGAAGGGTATAATTGTAAAATTGCCAGTTTTTTTCTTTCTCTCAAATTCTAGAACACAAAAAATTAGAACATACACTTTCAGGAAGGAAAGGGCTTATTACGTGTAATATTTGAAGCCCACAAGTCTATATATCAGTTTAGTGAATCGGACTCTTATAGACACCTTCCCCTATTGGTCTTTTGTAGAGACAGTCCTCTGGATGCACAACTGCCTCCACCTCGTAGAAATAATATGATATTTTACAGTGTACTATCTCTATATAAGTGTTTCATGATTCTTGCTATGGGTGGGCCAGACACAACTTATCACCAACTTAGTAACTAATCCAAAGCACGTGCTCCAATCATCTTAAAGGAATTCAAATTGTCTACTAAAACAGATCTAAAAGAACCAAGCCAAATCCAGATTCTAGAATCACTTTACCTTGCACTATCGATTAGATCTAATAATAATAGTATAACAAAATAACATGCAAGCTAAAAGCCAACCCCACAGAAGAAGTCCCCATGATTCAACACAAAGTACTAGGAAATAAAAGATACTTCCAGATGTTTTTCAGATCAAAATTATAAATATGGTAATATCAAACTAAAGCCTTGCTAAAAAAAGAAGAGATATAAACTATTTGGTTTTATATGATATAATGAGTTCATCCCCAAGGGGCCCAAATTTTTATTCCTAGTTAAACGGGAGGGAATGAAAATTTCATTTTCATTCATCAGCTTAACCAAACAGCCACTAAAATTTGCTAAACTAAAATCTTCCATCTCTAATTGGCAATGTACCAAGTCACACCATCAATCAACCTTGGGGACAACACAGGAGCAGGGCTAATTTGCTTATTGCATATTAAGTTGTTAGGTTTATGTATTCCAGAACCTATAGTACAGAAGCAGCAATTTAGTTCATATATTAAACAAGAAAGTTTAAAGATAAGGATAAGTACTTTGACTTGGTAAGGTCTGATGACATAAAAAGCCTTGCTCCTAACTCAAGTGAATTTGGACCACGAACATGATTCCGGTATAAATCCAGCCACAGATGGCTCTGGTGCTATAAATACACATAAGTCGCATGAAAATAACAAATTCATGGAATGGAAGAACCGCAGGTAACCACTTGCCTAGTAATGAAAAGTTAATAGGCTTGAATTTGGAGAAACCAACCTGTCAAGATGGCAATTCTAGCTTGCATGAATCCGTAGGTCCAATAGGAGATAGCATTAACCTTGTGATGAACAATTCCCAACACGAACCACTGACAAATTGGAAGATTAAAAATAACTAGAGATAAGTTCAAAGGATGATATATGAAATTGGCAGGCATATGTTTTATTGAACTCATATCAAATGCATATTGGTAAAGCATAAATCACCAAAAAGACAAAGGGTTCACCAAATGTTTGAAAATTAGCATTAAGGGCTAGGGGTTATATGATTTGATATCCCTCTAAGAAGTAAGGAACAGAAACTCAAATTCATGAGAGTGCCATACAAATAAACAGAAGATGTGCATGAAAACTACTTAATTCTATTTTATCTTGATCTCTCTTTCTCTCCTACCTTTTAACTACATATAAAACTAGGTAATATGGAAAAGGGTGTTCATTCAAATTCATAGTATGTTGCATCCTATTATCATGTTGGTACACTGTACTATAGACCAAATGTCCATTAGACTATAAAGTATCTTAACAGAGTTAGGATTTCCATCTGTGAAAACTGAAATAGGAGTACAGTTTACTTCCATACAAGATACAATAGCACTACATGGATCACCAAAGACATTTTAGTAACAAACTACATTAAAAAAAAAGATGCATATACCTCATCATATATTTAATAAGGGCCTGGAAAGAAACTCTTTGTTGAGTGCTTTGCCTAGAATTCTCACACTATCTGAGGTGTTGTCAGTTCTATCACCATTGTTTTTCCTTCTTCAGATCCAATTCACCGATGATCTGAACTCTAAAAGCATGAATGAGATTGTAAGAGGTTAGGAATTGATAACTTCAAAATAGATTGTAAATGATACTTCCAGAATCAATATTATAATATGCTTATACCACACGCTATTTCAAGGAAAAAAACAATATAAGATTAGATACTCTGCACAAATGTTTTCTGAAACCACATAGTAACTGTGATGCTCCATTTTTATGAATTTCAAGTTCTGGATTTCTACATGAAAATTTCTGAAATTATTAAGTTTAAATTTGGTGAGTAGAGCCGATCTGACTTCATATCCACCAGCTCAAAATCTATGAAACGATTTATTTCATATACAATAAAAGATATAAAGTAATAAATGCAATCTGATTATTAACGAATTGTATACAAGCAATCGACCAAACCGCTTAATATACAAAGTATAAACCCTAGTTTTAATCATCTAGAAGAAAATCAAAGGCCAGAAGAATAATTGTCGCATTCTTCTTAACTCTTAAGTACGCCGGTAAACCACAAGACTGTTTAATTAAGCATCTTATGTAATGTAATTAAGAAATTATGTGAATTGTAAACTTCTTTGCATGATGATTCATGAAGTAAGAACTCAATACATGAATGTGAAATAGATCAACTAAGACGATGAACTTATTTGGATCGATGATTACCTCTGCAATGAACTGCGGCTCCGGTGGGCGGAAGAGGCGGGAGAGATTGGGCGGGAATGCGCGCTTTAAAGAAAGGAGGATGGAATGAATAACTCAAGTTTATAAACGGATCGCGAACGTACGAAACATATACCATATTATGAAGCATTTCATAAAATCTGTTAAAAAGACTATTTTTTTTAGATGAAATATTATTTATTGATTCGTATTACTTAAAATTCAAGATTATAAGTAAATTGTATACAAATACAAGTTATTAAAGTTTTATATTTGAATTTATATAACTAAGTGCAGATAAATATAATTAAATACAGAATAAATATCTCATTTTAAAWATAAAWAATSTAAAATATAATTAATATAATCAGTAAGTAATACTTAATTATTATTTTTTATAAAAAATTATATTATTAAATCTAAAATAAATTATTTATTTATTAAACTTAAAATAAATTATAACAAAAAGACTAAACTAAAAATTATTTTTATAAAAAAACATTATTATTAGACCTAAAATAAATTAATTCGTCATTAAATCTAAATTAAATTATACAAAAAATATAATATAGAAAACGAGAACTTTTACACTTGTTAATTTAATTCGTTAAAAAAATTATGGGTCTTCAAATTTATATTTATTTAAATATAAAAACATTATCGTTTTCCCAAAACTATATAAAATTCGTATTATAAACAATAAATTTAAGATGTATCTCGCTGCATTGCGTGTATATGCTTCTAGTTTCATAAAATTTGTCAAGTGATTTTCCTATTAATTATATTTGACAACTAAAAGAAAATACTTAATTTCTGATAAAAAAAATATTTTTTAAAATACATATAATATATATAAATGAATTATCATCGGGATTATATATAAATGAATTATCATCGAGTTTGTATACTGGTGAGAATGAAAGTTATGATAAAAAAAGGTAAGTATCTCCACCATTAGACCAATCTTAATTGAAAAAGAATCGGTAGATCAACTCTAGTGAGATATATTGGATCAATTTCTTTAAAGTAACTTTGAGATTAAAAGTGATCAAGGGTTTAAATATTTTCTTGCACTTCTCACATTAACTTCTATTCTCACATGATCATTCATCTTATCATCGAGCCTCTTTACATAACTTTTTTTTGTAAAAGGTATTGTGTATGTATCAACACTTATTTCAAATCCAACTCTCGACGGGTGTTGATGTACCCAATTGGATTATTAAGAGCATTTCCAACAGCTATGATATTTTAAAAAACTTTGGAAGTTTTCTCAAATTTGTTTCAACGGCTATGTTAAACTCTTTTTTAAAATAGAAGAAAAAATCTCCAAATTTAAAAAAAAAAGAAAATACAGCATACCTGTTAGAGATACTCTAACAGTTTTTCTTGGATAGTTTTTTCTCATGCTCTACAAAGGGTGATTCTATAAGCAGCCCTCTTCATGTATGAGAAATATAAAAAGTAAGTTTTGATGTCAATGTGTATTTCTGAGTAGGAAATTAGTAGGTACATTTAGCCTACCCCTCTACAAAAGCCATAAATTCCCGTGGATAGGAACGTTAGAAAGGTAAAAAACCGTGTAGGCGATCCGTCACTGTCCCTGAGTGTCCCGTTATCATCCAACCAATCATTACATATCATCGTTAAAGAACAATAAAAAAAAATGGGACAAGTGATTTTTATCCAGTTAGAACTAAAACACGTGCAACCGAAGCAAGACATGGGCATGACATAAGAAAGAAAAAAACGGGCTTATATACATAAAAGGCGAAAAATCAAACAAGAAGACAATCAATTTACGAGATTGTGAAAAGTTTCAAGAACACAATACAACATGTCCAAAAGGACAGGGTCGTAGGAAAAGTCACCCGTTACATGACTGGTCAACAACATTTTTGTATCGCATATGATTAGAACTTCTTGCCTTCTCGCAAATTGATCGTACTTCTCGTTTGATTCTGCCTCTGTAAATAAATACAAAAGCATTTTGCACCATATATATGATGCATATTATTACTACTACTAATTTTCTAGCTGCACAAGTCGCTGCATGAATCGCATACTTCACAGCAGCAATTGAGGCATTCTAAACAAGCAAGAGCCGTACATAGTTGCGCCATAACAATGGCGCATTGATCGTTCATGCGAGAACAGCACTGAATGAAGCACATGCAACAACATCGATCGAGAAAGATCCCCCAGACGGAGGAAGCGGCCTGCATCATCATTCCGGCAGGCTCCTTTTCCTCTACTTCTTCTATTCCCGGAGGTACACCGTCGACACTTGCCATCAAGTTCCCGAATCCGATGCTTAGATTCTTCAGATGTATCATCTTATGATTCTCCAATTTGGTATACTTCTGTGTGCGGTTCAGCAATTATCATCATCACCATATATATATATAATATACAAAATAAAATTTAAAATTTCATATCATATTATAAATTAAAACAACAAAAATATTTGAAAAGAATATCAAAGAGTCATTTTTATTTTTGGTCATGCAAATTCTGAAATTAGGTCGTTTTTTATTTTGAAAGAAATTAGATAGATATTCATTCAGAGATTGGTTCAATTTTGGGCTAAATAAATCCGGGACCCAAACGCAAGTATAATTGGGCTCCAAGTCTATAAATATATATTATACTTGTAGACATAACTTTTATTCTCACACGATTCAGTTCCCAGGTCTATAATGACTAAATATATAAAACACAAGGGTGGTGTCCGATTGGTTTGAGTTTGGCTCCAAAGGTCAAAAGTACCTGGAGGTCTCAGGTTCAAATCCAAGAAGAAATAAAAATCCCCTTGTGGCCACGGAGGTTCAAATGCGGTGACTCAGGGCTATTTGCAAAGCAGGTGGTCGCCCTGAGATTAGTCGGCTCGCATAGCGGGTTGGATATCCAGGTTAATAAAAAAATATATATATATATATATATATACATACACACACACATATATATATATATATATATATATATACATATGCAAAAGCCTACCTCTTCTGGTAGAACTGAATCAATAGGTGGCTTTACTCTGTCACCCTGGACTAGAATCATGCTAGTATATTCACAATGAACCCCCATTTGTAAGCTCATTTTTGCAACCTACATCAATAGACCAACTCAACTTATTGAACCATAAGATGATGATCACACAAAATGCAGAAAGAAAGAAAGAAAGAAACCTTCTCCTCTAATTGTTGATTCGTGTCTAACCATGCATGTGCTGTGAGCGAATCGACCTCCCTTCTTGCACAAACCTGAAAAGATAGAAGAACCAAAAGCTCAAATTTAATAATTTCCACCAATTTTTGAAACTGGACCCAACACACTGCTTTGGGCTATGGAGCGTTGCATCCGGTCCTTGTATGTTTACCATGATACAAACTAAGGGGCCATTTGGTACCCAGGAGAGAACAAAACAGGACATGACAAAATAAAACAACACAGTTGTTCAACGTTTGGTAACATAGGACTGGTAAACGACACCCTTGATGATTTGTTTATATTTTTTTTTCTATATTTTTATTAATTTATTAAATTATAATAAAAAATACATTTTTTGTAACAAAATATATCATTAGAAAATTTTCGTCAAGACAATTAAAATGGGACCAAAATATGAAGTTTATTAGTTTCCAAGTTTTGTTTTATACTTATTCTATATTATTTTATTATTATTAATATTTAAAAACTTACTAAATTAACCACAATATAGAAAACGTATAAATAATATTTTGAGAACGGTTAAGTGAAAGTTTAAAAAAATAAAATACAATAAATAAAATCTAAAGAATAGATAAAATGTAAAGAGGGTTACTTATTTGATGCTTAAAAATATTAGGTTTTATTTTGAGGATATATTGGCAAAATATAAGTTTGTTCCACCTTAATCCATGGGGTGGGGTGGAGCACGCATGTTCCACTCTGTTCCACATAAAAGTCATGCCAAACGTGGAACAATGATCCATGTTCTGTTATGTCATGTTCAGTGCACCAAACGCACCCCTAAGGGTACAAATTAAAATCTTTACCTTGTTCAAAGGTATGTCTTTCGCGTTCCTCACTTTGACATCAATTACATAGGTGCTCATATCAGCCATGAAACCTCTAGCTTTAACAATGTCGGGGAAGTTTCCTTCGTATCGGCCTGATACAATTACCGGACTTCCAAACAAGTCGGGAATACGAAACGGGTACAACTGCGATAAATAAAAACAACTAATGAAGTTAAACTGAATGAACCAATAAAGAAGAGATCAAAAACTGTACCTCATGTGAGTCGAGATTTTGTAGGGCATCAAGGGTTATATTTGCGAGTACGGGAGACAAGGCGTTTTTAAGCAGTTTTGGTAATTGTTCGCTGATCGAATCTGGTTCAAAACAATGATTTAACATGCCACTTATGTTTAACAAAAGAATGTAAGAGGGAGATCCAAACGAGAACAAAGTCAAAATAAGAAAACATGAAAACGGCGAAATCACATGTGATTTTCCACTGAAATCACATCCGATTACGGAACACGATCAACGCAAGGTGTGTGCAAGCGACTTGGCCCACGACCGTGAACACATGTGATTTTACACCGTGTTCTCGAGTCCGTAAAGTATTTGGTCGTTATCTTGTTTCCTTCCAAAATTCGAGAACACAGAGTAAAGTATTTGGTCGTTATCTTGTTTTCTTATTTGATCACCATTCTCATGTGAACCCGACCCAAGAATGTAATTATTAAAGATATTAGTGCTTGATGAAACTGACCTACATCATATGCAGCATCATAGCATCCTCTTCCCATATGAGCAAGCATTTGCAAAAAATAGTGATTGCAGTATGAACCTGGGAATCTTCAGATCATTAACCAAAACAAGACACGCACAATAACCTCCAGGTCGATTGATATTATAAGAAGCTCATAGATCTAATTTTCTATCAATGTGGGACCAGTTGTCTCATTTATGACACCTAGGCGTAAACTTTGGATGAAATCTTTGCGAATTTACTTACCTATGCCAAATGTGCAAATTCGCGGACAATTAATTCCTCCATCTAGAAGGCGATCTTTCATCGTATTACAAATATCTTTTTCATCTTCAACAGCTCCATCAGTAATGAGGAAAATGAGAGGAATAGATTCACCAGTCTTACCGACCATATCAAATGCCTGGAGATCATCAGGAGATATAAATCATTTGGTTTCAGATGTGGAAAAGGAAACAATAAGCTCATTGAGACAACAATAAATGAGAGAATAGTTGTAACGCCTCATAGCCCAAAGCAACAGTCTGACCCAATAACCATTAAATCAACTTAAAACTGTGATGGAAGTTAATGGTAGCCCAAAACTTTGAGCTTATAAGGAGCTCACAAAATCTAGTTTTCTATCAATGTGGGACGGGTTGTTACAATAACTATCTTCTTGCTTCCATTTCCTAAGCCTTTTGGCTCATTAAGCCTTTAGACTTGCTTCAACCCAGATCCAAGTTTGAAAGTTTTAACTTGTAAAACTTGCAAGCCTAATATTTTTCCCTACCTAAATTGTACTCTTTAGTATATACGAACACTTAGGAGTTAGGGCCTGTTTGTTAGCAGCTTAATGAGACTCGCTTATTTTGTCAGCTATATATGACTGTTTGGTAGTGCTTAATGATACAGAAAGTGGCTTATCATTAAGCTTCTAGGGGGGGGAGCTTTATGCAGAAAGCCATGTTTTTCCCAAACTTGTCTCTCAATTAAAAAAGGCGCTCCTTCCAAACAAAAATCTTCCCAATCTACGCAGACGGGTAAATCCACACAGACAGCTTTATCCATAGACTTAATGGAAAACCATCCAAACAGTCCCTCACAATTATACCTATATTAGCATATACGAGCACTTGCTATTGCTATTATACCAATATGATCTATATAGATATCTTGAAACTTGATATGTTTACAACTTTAGTCTAAGGGTCTGTTTGTTAGCAGCTTAATGAGTTTAAAAAAACTCAAAGCTTATTCGGTCAGCTATACATGAGCATTTGGTATTGGCTTAACAATATAGAAAGTGGCTTATTCAATAAGCTTCTAGCGGGATGCTTTATGCATAAAGTCAAGTTTTTCCCATACTTGTCCCTCCCAATTAAAAGACACGCTCTTCCAATCTATGATAAAACCCTCCTAAACATAAACCTTTTCAATCTATATGGACAGATTAATCCGCACAAACAACTTTATCCATACAAAACTTAATGGAAAACCAACCAAAACAGCCCCTTTACCGGCAAATCAATTCACAATGAATAACCAGGGTGATGCTGAAAAATGGATCTTGAGATGAGAAGCACCTGTTTGAGGGGGAGAAGGAGGTTTGTACCTCCTTCAGCTATAAGATTTGTGATCCATTCAGTTGCATTTGTGATTCCTTCCTCTGTTGCCAACTCCAAGGAAGATGAGAATGGTTGAATGTCTCCATTGAAGGCTATGATGTTAAAATAATCTCCATGATTAAGCTCCGAGAGGCAACCGATCACTGCATCTTTTGTTTTCTCAAGCGGGGCATCGTGCATACTCTCGCTTATATCTACTAGAAATACCACTTCCTTTTTGAAATGCTATTAGGATGCACATTATCCACACAAATGAGGTTAGTTATTACTTGGTTTTATTGAAGATGCCAACAAACCAATTAAGGGCCAAATGAAAGAATTAATAGAAACCAAAGGGCCTTTGCCCTGGCAGTATCGGAGCCTTTGGCCTCCTAGAAGGTCAGGGTTTCAAACCTCACCAGAGGTGAGAATGGTGTGTGAGTTTATTTGTTGCATTTGCCATATATAAATATTATATACTTTAAAAAAGAAGAATGAATAGAAGATGCCAACTAACCTTGGTAGTTCTGTTACTCCCTGGGAGAAGATAGAAGCAAAACATATCTCTCTGATCACAATCATTTCGAGATGGAGTCTGCAGTAGCAGACCAGCAAAGATATCATCTGAGCACACCTGAAAGGAAATGCCATTTAAAGAGATCAAGACATGCTTTCATGTTTACTTCTTGGAACTGAATCCACAACTAAGTCTGTGAGAATATGTGGAACCTCATTAGTTTACTTTCTAAAAGAGCCCTTAAAAAAAAGGGCGGGTTCCAACATATATAGAAGAAATAGTCCAAATCTAACTAATATGTGACTCTATCAGCAGAGGCTAGACGAGCATAGATTGTCCTAGAGTGTCAAAAGGGGGCTAGACAGTTATAGATTGCCCCTAAAAGTGTCGAGTCCATGGTAGATCTTGACTCGGATACCATGTGAGTATACGTGGAACCTCATTTGCTTACTTTCCAAAAGAGCCGTTGAAGAAATAAATAGGGTTCCAACATATATTTAGACGAAATGGTCGAAGTCTAGCCGATGTGGGACTCTAACACACCCCCTCCAATAGAGGCTAGATGGGATCAGATTATCCCAAAGTGTCGAGTATGTGGTAAACCTTGGCTCTGATACCATGTGAGAATATGTGAAACCTTATTATATTACTCTCCAAAAGAGCCCTTGAAAAGAGAAAAGGTTCCAACATATACTAAGGAGAAATGGTCCAACTCTAGCCGAAGTGGGACTCTTACAAAATCCATTTATAATGAAAGATATGAGGCTTTACCACATAAGTAAAATAGAAGTCATCATTAGACCATTTCTGAACATCTGCTTCATATACAAAGCTTAATTCCCCACCATGCCGTCTTGTTTCCTTTCAAGCGATAAAATAAGTGAAATATATGATTAGGAGAGAAAACAAGAATGATGTTCATTCACTGCAACAAATTTGGTTTTATAGGACGCCTAAGATGTCTAAATGTCCTAATAAAATACTATTTATAGGACCAAAATTTAATACGACCAAACCAATAAGTGTCCTATCTAAAAGTGTTGCACTAGGTTTATAGGATGTTTTTAGGTGTTTTCACAAGTTTTTTAGGGCACTTTTAGAATAGTGTCGTATTAGCTACTTTATATGACATTATTTGAAAAAATGTCGTATAAAAAGATGGGTTTATGACACTTCTGAAAAGTGTCCTATAAAAATAGCTAATAAAACACTTTATTTTAAAAGCGTCTAAAAGATCTTGTGAAAATGCCTAAAAGCGTCCTATAAACCTATTGTAACGCTTTTAGATAGGACTCTAGTTTGGTCCTATAAACATATGTTCTGTAAAGTATTCTATTAGCACGTTTAGACATTCCAGGCATCTTATAAAGCCAAATTTGTTGTACTGATTGGATATAAAATACTAAACTAAAATATACAGCATACCATTAAAGGATGACTAGAAATATTGCACATAATCTCAGTCTCCATTCCAGATATCACATTTAGCGAAACTTTTTCCTTATTAGGAGTTCCCTTCACCACTGGCACCACGTGAGCCGGAAAAGTGAAAGGAATACTAAGGCAGAACTCACGATCTTGATACGTCAATTTCTGAGACCACCTAACATTAACATGGACATATGATCCTCCCTCAACCTTGGAATGCCGGCGTCAAAGAGTTAGTAAATAGGTCTAATAAATGTAAGTACACAAATATTATATCATAGTACAAAGTTGTTGCGATACCTGGAAAATTTTGAACGTATACGTGTTGCCTTTCATTAAAAAGCCATTCTTTATCGTGGTTACTTTTTCTAGATCTTGGGAAGTTACGAATTTTGTAGAATATGATCTTCTTGTGGTCTCCACCTCAATACCTAGAACTGAACCCTGTTAGCCACACCATGTTCATTTGAGAACTAAAATAAGAAAGGTTGATATAAGGGTTCAAAACACAGAATAAATTAAGTTATGAAGAATCATGAGAACACCATTCTTAGTATTACTTCTTTCCTTCTTGAGTTCATTCATTGGAGAGGTGCAAGATCTTGTCTTTAAGTTAAGAAAATAGTTTATCCCGTAAAATAAGGAAAATGATGCGTACAAGAATTAAATAAGACAGCCGCGTAGTGGTTGAGGCTTAGGGGGTCTTGGTGAAATATCCATGTGTCCTAGGTTCAATATCCATGTCCACAGTAATTTGTGGTCATTGAGTGTATCAGAGCTGATGTCTTATGGCTGTAATTTGCTTGGATTAGTCACCTTCCAACAAAAAATAAGACGTTAATTAAGGCCCACATGGCCTTGCAACCAAACTTGCTAATTTAGCACGTGTCGGGTGGGGTTGTGCTTATGTGGCGTCTAATGGTAGATCGAAGGCATTTGAAAGAGGGTTTGAAAACATAATGTGGTTTCGAAACAAAAATCTGATGTGTTTTCTTATCTACTTGTAAAGTTATAGAGAATGTGAACATGAACTAAACAAAGTTATATACTTATATTACACAAAAAGCTGATGTGCATTCATGTGACGGAATTTTGGAACAGCAGATTTTATTCGAGAAAGAGGGCGTGACTCCGATACACACCAAGAAATGGCTAAAGATACACAAAAGGCATAGAACATATGATATTGGGATGAAATTATGTTCATCATTTTTGGCAAGTTGTACAGGATACTTTAGAATAAGATATAAAGGGGAAATGACAGCAAGAGGTCAATACGAACAAGTAAATTTTAATCAACGAAACAAATGGGACCCACAAACTTCTTTTTTATTTAATTTTATAAATAATTAATATGATATTATAAAAACATTAGTCAAATTTTGCCAATAAATTTTAGCTAATGTTTTTAATCATGTTTTTTTGACAATCTGTAACAAAATATAGTGCATAATACAGATCACAGACAAAGGATTCTCAAATATGAACTACCTATTTTGTGAACATGATAGATATTTATGATGATGTCATGACAGATATTATGTTATTCAAGGTAAATCATCATGAATATTATAAAAAGTAGATGGTTATTCGACATGAATACTATAAAAATAGATGGTTATTCGGCAAAACCCGGATAAAGTTGAGCCAAAAATCATGAATACTATAAAAAATAGATGGTTATTGCCATGAATATTACAAAAATAGATGGTTATTCATCATGAATACTATAAAAAAAAATAGACGGTTATTCGGCAAAACAAAGTTGAGCCAAAAATCATGAATACTATAAAAATAGATGGTTATTGATTCTCAAAAATACTTAGGTTCCAACAAATCATCTTCCATAATTCGATTTTCAGTATTGAAGATTAGGGGTGCTCAAAAACCCTACCAACCCACACGGCTTGGTTTGGTTTGGGTTGGGTTGGGTTGCACTTTGGTTTGAATTGGGTTAAGATTTTTTAAAGATGTTGAATTGTTCAAATTTCTTCAACCCGGTTAAATCAAGCTATGAGTGATAAATAATGAGAGGAATGATACACAAACGAATAAATAAATCAATCAACGTTACCTGCTCACCCATCGGAATCGCGATTCTGCAATCGCAACATGCGCTTGATGATACGCAATGAACACGCCAAGTCCCGGTAACGGAAACGAACGCCGTATCCAAATAACACTCCACCTCCATCGCGATTCCATGCATATGCAGCGGAACCAACGCCGGCGGATCGCACCGTCCGTACACGTACGGCTGGTAGCTGCAAATATCCGGATTATCGACGGTAGAAGGATCGACTATTACCGCATAAACCATCGGCGCTGACGGACGATGACTTTGCGGTGACCGCAACGACGAAGCCGATGAAGACGACGACAACGACTTTTTCATGGACGGCTGTTTGGGAGCAGTCATGGATGCCTTGTCTTTTCCATAACATATCCTTCGGGATAGCTGGATTCCCATTTGAACTGACCTAGAGAACTCATCGACGGCCATCGGAAGGTCGCCGGAGTAGTTGGATGGTGAGATTTGACAGTCGAAGTGTGAGTGTGTAGGAATGCTGATGACAATAATAGGGGTGACGCTTCACTATATTGGGGGTCATGTTCCAAAAGGTCCTTTATTTTTGGACTCATGTAATTGGAGACAAAATTGACACGTTAAAGTGTGTTTGCTACGTTAAAACAGGGAACCTGACCAATTTAACCTTTTAGAATAGAAACTTTATAATTTTAACCTTAAAATTAAAATTTCTAACAAACTGACCATGAATTACAGCAACATAAAATCATTTTTTATACTTAAAACTTTACAGCAAAATATTATGAATGTAGAATACTAAAAAAACATTGTGAATGTAAAAAACTACACGTAAAACCATTTTTTACTCTTGAAGTCAACTGAAAGGGTCTCTTGAAATCGACAAAAAAACTAAAAAATCTCTTGAAATCAAACAAAAAACTTCAAAAATCTCTGAAAATGATGAATTATGCTAAAAACATATTAGACGACTAACCTTTAATCGATCTTAAAGGTTCCCCCACTAGACAAAAATAATGGATTCGCCACTGAATGTAAGTGTTTAGTAAATGGTCTCTTAATCTCATAAACAAAAATAGAAATAAATTGCAAGCTTAAGTAACTGAAATTAGGGTTACTCAAAAACCCGATCAACCCAACGCGAAACAACTCGATGTCTAATTGAGTTGTAAAATTAACAAACCGTAGGTATTATGTTAATATTGGGTTACTATTATTTGAACTCAACTCAATCCGATTAACCCGATATCATTTATTGGATTTAATATAAAATTCATTAAAATGTTCCATATCTAGCCCATACCATCATAGTATTAACCGCCGGGTGTAGGTGGCAAATAGGGATTGCTGGGTGGGTGTTACCGTCTTAATAAATGATTTGACCTACAAAATATAATTTGGTGATGACTCATATATATATTATATATATGCATCGAGAGTGAGAGTAAACAAATAAATATATATACTTTGATAATAACGAGATATGGTTTTTTTAGTTATATTTGACGTAGCAGTGTGAGTAAGCATATATATATATATATATATATATATATATATATATATATAGGTGGAGGTTTACATTCTTATTACATGTGATAATATATGTAAAAGGACTGTGATGTGTCGACGATGTGTTCTATGACTTAGGTCGAGTCAAAGGTTGTATGCGTCTATGATTTAGCATCACATGTGATAGTATATTGATAGATTATAGTATCATATCAACTACATCCTTATCACATGTGATAATACATGTGAGGGGACTTAGTGGTGTAAGGACGACTTGACCTACAACCAATATCGCATTGAAATCGTTCGTGTCTCTGATTTAGTATCACATGTGTATCATATTCTATGGAATAATAGTATCACATGTGATTGTCTATAGTAAAAAAGTTTTCTCACGTTCTTGTAAAATAAAGACGTTCTCGTTTGAACCCTTATATATATATATATATATATATATATATATATTATACACACACACACTTTGATAATAACAAGAGATGATTTTTTAGTTATATTTGACGTATCAGTATTTGCATTTTTGGTCTTTTTAAAAACCGAGATTAAAATCTTATTAAAAATGAGAAGAATGTGTCAATCTGTTTGTTACATTTATCTTATAAATATTATATAATTTAAAAAAAAATCAGTTAAAACGGATACAAGTTTGATCAAACGTTATTAATAATTAAAAAAAAATTATTAACCACAAGAGTAGTGTCAAATTGGTATGAGTTTGGACTCCAAAGATCAAAAGTGTCTGAAGGTCTCAGGTTCGAATTCAATGAGTCATAAGAATCTCCATTTCGCCACGAAGGTTCAAATGCGGTGACTTCGAGCTACCTGCGAAGCAGGAGGTCGTTCTGAGATTAGTCGATTCGTATAGTGGATTGGATATTCAGGTTAATAAAAAAAAATTGTCGTTTTTTCCTATAATTTGAGATATCCTCCACTTACTGTTATTTTATTTCGTTTTTTCCTATAACAAAAATGTCTTTTTCAGACATTTTGAAAAGCGATGTTACATGCTTACCTTTGCATTATGCTAAATATACGATATGTTGGGAAAGTTAAAGCGTTAATTACGGATACAACTTTAATGAAAAGTATCATCTATCGATGTCTGCCAACAGCTATAATAATGATTAAATCTCAAAAAGTCATAAATTTATTTGAGTAATTTACGTTTTTCGTTCATGTGGTTTGTTAAAAGTTTCGGATTTCGTCTTTGTGGTTTTAAAAATTCGGTTTTCATTTTTACCGTTTGCAATTCGGTTATATGTTCGTCTATGAGAACAAAACATTACTTTTAAGTATAAATGACTAAAATATAAATGAATTGTAAACCATAAGGATTAAAAAAAAGCAATAATTTTTAAATGATAAGGACAAAAAGGGTAATTAATTATAAACCATGGGGATGAAAATTGTAATTTCAAAATTATAAGGATAAACGTATAAATTTTCAACAAACCACATGGACTAAAATCGTAATTTACTCTTTTTCTAATAAGGAAAATTAATTAAAATAACTATTTTAAGTCTTTTATATTCGGGGCTGTTTGGCAATTACGGATTGATTTGGTGCAGATGATTAAGTGGTCATAATGATTAAGAGGCTCTCATGATATAATAATAAATGAAATATAATTGTTTGGTAATTGTTTATAATGAAATTAGGGCACTGAATGGTCAAGGAAGACCTATAATACAAAATCATTCAGAGAATTTTAAAACCATTAAGAAGCAGACTGTTTTTCTACCAAACAAGATTCATCTCCTAATGATTCGGATACTGTCTCTTAATGAAACTATTAAGAAGTAAACAAACAACCCCTTCATCTCACTCGGCCATCTCTTAGTCCAACACTTTCGCAAGTGGCGGAAGTACCACTTGCGAACCTTTATCTAACTTATAGATTTGGTTCTTATACTTGCAGCTTGGTTCATAAACCTTTTCTTACATATTAACCTTTCCGCAAATTGGGGATGTGTCATTTGCAAAGACATATATCTTTCAAATTTAGGGAGAAAAATGGCTAAAAGATAAATTCGAAGCCTGAAAATAGTTATTTTCTATAAATTTTCCTTTAATAAATACACCATTCTTTGCATAGTTAAAAAAAAATATTTATAGATATGCATTTTGGTGTAAAAAATGGTGTCTATAAGATATGAATTATTGATATTATAAAAAATACAAGATTTTGATGAAAAATATAATGTTTTGGTCAGAAATCATTGTGGAGCCACATACAAATAATGGGGTTCTTGACCCCATTCAAAACTTTAAAAATTAGAAAATCTTAAGTTAAAATAATGGGTTTTTTTATTTTTTGGTGCGTTTCGTTTGAAGGAATGAAATGGATTTGGAAGAATTTGGATTTCAAATCCATTATCATCTTATGTTTGATTTGTTGGATTGTTCGGATTTAAAATCCTTTGATTAATTGAAATTCTTCAAATATTGGATTTTGAAATCCTCAAGAAGTACTCGGGATTTCACGAGATTTTTTTCATGTAATTTTCCCATTCTAATTTATTTTTTTACTAACAACTTTTTTGGAATTATTTATGTTGATTTAAACGTTAAAATTATGTTGAACAATATAAGTCAAACTCTTATTTATATTATAAATATCAGATAAACCTTAAAACAACAAATTAGATTGCGTAATAAACAAATCTCACTCGTGGTTTATATATCATTGTGTCAGTAGTTGTTAGAAAAACATGATTAAAACGATTTTTTATATGTTCCGTTTGAAAAAAGTTTCAACGTATGTTAGGTTCGAATCAAAACATGTGTCCTTTCTGGACTAATGAAAACAAATATATCGACATCATGATGATCTTTATTTAATAGCATAAAGGTTCAACTTACTCGAGTGCATGTTTTTTATAATTGTGCTTAATTATAGAGAGAGAGAGATATACCATTTTTTACAAACCAATATATTTTCGTCTTCTCGTCAACTGGTATCTCATTTACTTGTCATTTTGAAACAGATGACTATATAAACTGTATTAGAATCCACTTATAAAACCGTACACAAAATTATCACCTTTTTATTTTCTACTAAAGGGCTGTTTGGCAGTTGCTAAATAGTTTGATGCAAAATGATTAGATGGTCAAAATTAGGGGTGCTAAAAAACCCGATCAACTCAACACAACCCAATGCGAAATAACTCAATCTAAAGCAATCTGATGTCTAATCAAGTTGTAAATTTGTCAAACCGTAGGTATTTGGTTGATGTTGTATTATTATTATTTGAACTCAACCTAACCCGATGAACTCGATATCTTTTTATTTTTCTTGGATTTAATATGATTGTTGAATTTCTAGTAATATATACATTGGACAATTACACTATTATTTATGCTATTCACATACACATATTTTCAATCTATTCACATCTCTATAATTCATTCGTATATATGTTCAGTAACTATGAACATATATATATAAATTGAGAAAATTAACTGAATGTAATATACGTAAGAAGTAAGTTGTATCAAATAGTTGATGATGAAAAAGAAATTATGAGTAGAGAAATAACATATTCAATGTTAGAAAAAAAAAATTAATGTACCAAAGTATCAACCCGACCAACCCGTACGAATTGGGTTGGATTAGGTTGCACTTTGGTTTGGTTTGGGTTGGTTTGGGTTGAGTTAAGATTTTTCAAACCGCAAGCATTGGGTTGGGTTGTTCAAATGTCTTTAACCCAACTTATGAGCATCCTTAGTAAGAATGATTAAGATGCTCTTATGATATAATTCAAAATGAAATATAATTGTTTAGTAATTATTTACAATAAAATTAGTGCTCTTAATGGTAAGGGAGACCCAAGATACAAAAACATTCAGAGAGTTTTAAAACCATTAAAAGACATCTTTTTTTTTGCCAAACAATATTCCTTTCTTAACGATTCAAAGACTGCATCTT